CATAACAGATGTTTTTCTTCCTCATCTGGAGTGTATCCCCTCTTAAAAAGGAAGAAAAAGAGAACCCAATTCAACTTTAGGTATGTGTAGCGTGTTGAGTTAATTGGCCAAGAGTTAATTGCTCTGGGGGTATCTGGGTTGAAGCGGGTTGCAAGAGCATCTCTTTCAGATAGGGAGTTTAGAACAGTGGTGAACAAGTTGCCCTAATTCCTTGTTGATCATATATATTCCAATCTTTGGTTTGGAGATAGAGTACTTGCTTTGCAGATTGGTACTTTTAACAGACTCTGAATTTTTAGGAAGTTTAAGTTATTCTCCAAGGCATATGCATTTCAAGGTTTATAAATTGTTTGTGTATGCCTTTGGCAACTTGAATCAATGAATTTTGCATTTTGTTAATGATAATTCCTTTTTCTTTTTCTTCTTTTGTTTGGAATTAAATAATTCTATTGTACTTTTTTCTAGAAGTTACTTGAACTGATTTATCGTGTACCGCAAGTTTATGGATTTACTTGTTTACCAATTTATGTGTGCTCTCAATGGATTTGCATGATTTCTTGAAAGCAAATGGGGAGATGGGTGAGTTTTTGTCTCTGCCTTGGCGGTTGAATATAAGCAAACTTTGCTCCAACTTCCTATTTGTGTATTTTCCCTTTCGAGGTGTTATGCGAAAACGAGAAAAAGAATGGGTTTTACTTATTATATGCTGGAGTTTATTGAGATGACATTGAGCATCCAATTTTGCTTGAATTTTTTCTTTGGCAGCTTCTGAGATGTAGCAACCAAAGTTGGTTCATCACTCTAATTAGATTACATGAGTTAAATCTGTTCGTTTTTTAATGCAAAGGATCCTAAGTGCATCATCTTAAAGGATATTTATCTATGCTAATATAAAGAATAATGCTATTTGTACTTAAAAATCTGACTTAATTTGTTAATCTAATAATATGGTTTCAGTGGAATTATTGGAATAACACCAACTTTCAATGTTTGACGGGGCATAGAGTCAATCCAAAGACCTTAGTAAATTAGGTCAAATAAATTAGGTCTTAACAACATTGCTCTAATATAAACTGTCAAGATCTCAAAACTTTTATTTTACCTTTTTACCCCCGTAAGAATACAATTATTTTCTCTAAGCAATGAAAAGTTGACACATCAACACGAGCATTACCCTCACCTCTATCTTTTAGACCTTGCAGCTCCTACAACTGATTTAACTTTTACACCAATTGAATATATCTGTCAAACTTAAGAGTGTTAGTAATGGGGACTAAAACAATTTCAAGAATTACACTATTCATCTCTCAAACACTTCTCCTTCACCATATGTCTCTACAGATGTAGAGGACCGGGTTTAACAGGTATTGATTTTATCTCTCTTTTGTCAATCACATTCTTGTATTCCAAAAAAAATAGAATTGCACTTGCAATGATTAATCCCCTATTAAAGATTCACAAAATTGCATATTTTTATGATACACGTGTATATCGCAAAGAGATGGTTTGCCACAAAAAGGTTGGCAATGATCCGATCATCTTTAAGGACTTGTCAAGTGATATCCAAATAACATATACACAGTTTTGGGTTCATTTATTAACAATTGGGGTTTCAACTATGTTTAGAATCTCAATTCTGACAAGTTACTGTGTTGTCTTTACACTGACAAATTTTTGTCATTCATATTTCACTAATCTTTGTTTTTCCTATGGGAATGGTGTCCAGTATGTTGTACGTTTTCTTTGTACTACCGCTGTAGGTTTTATGTCAGTTTCTTCATCAGAGAGGAGAAATTTGCTAAATGTAATACGGGTAGTGGCTTTTATGATAAGTAGATATTTATCGTTCTAACATGATTCAATGCTTACACTGTGTAGCACTTGGGAGTTTTCTTGGCATTTTATATTGGTACTCAGGGCCTCTTGAACTACTCTTGTGTATCTCTTTCATCACTCCATTTTTTTTTTGCCTTCACAATCATCAGTTGGTGTGTCCTTACTTTGTTTATTGTTAACTCGCTTCTGAGTGAGTTCCATTTTCTATTTTTGTTTATTGGTACCGTAGCAAATTTGTTTGTGATCCTTTTTTTTTTTAATTGAATCATATGTGCTATTTGAATCTCTTAATCTTGTGTATGTAGGGATTCCTATGTGATTAACATTAACTTAATTCTTACAATTCTAGAAAAATTATGGACTTGTTTGATCACGAGATACGAAGTTTTCATTTTTTATTGTCAACTAATTTCAGAATGTCTTGGCAAGTTCACTACAACCCACATGTGATATCAGTGCAATTTGCATGTGACATGGAAGACATTTTTGAAAAGAAAAATGATAATCATAGTCCATAAAAACCTTACTACTTTTGCTAAAGATAGATATTAGTAGGCTTAGGACAAATATAATCAAACATATACTAAGTTTTATTTTATAGAAAACTTTCGTTGACATACTCATATTTCTTATATTAGAACTGGTTATCTACTTTATTGGGTTGAGAGAGGAAAGAAGTTCTTAGATATCTTTGTCGTCCTCTATGATATTAATTTCTTTCTATGATTATATATGGAAGAATTGGCTTTTGTGAGTTGTGAAAATTTCCCATAATAAGATACTGTTCAAAAAATTTTAAAGAAGTTTTTTCCCCTCATTTGTGGTTAATACTATGGACTAACTATTTGAATAATATCTTAATTTTCTTATAATTTTTCTAGCTAAACTCTTCTCTCAACCTCCATGTTTAATGTGAAAATCTCACTCCTTTTCACCTTTTGCTTCATTTTGTTTTTCTTTCTTTCTTGGATATGTGTGGCTGGTTATGCTGTTTTGTTGCTTATTGTATGTTATCTACATTTTGCTCATCAACTTTAATTTTTGCTTTTCTTGTTTATGCTTATGCCAGAATTTACAATATGACCTTTTTCAAAATTTTATTTATTTTTTGCATGAAGTTATTTAATTAAATATTTGGATTAAGATATCTCTTAATATTTGGACAAATTTTGATTTTTTTCAACTTATGCAAGTTTAGCTAATGAGTCATCCGTATATTTCAAATATTGGTTGTCCTTGTTTACTGTGAATATTTTAATTGCGAAAATTTTGGTTAAGTGATTTTTGGCAAAAAAAAAAAGAAAAGAGACTTGTAATTTAGCTAAAAAAGGTTTATATCTCTTTACTAAAATAATAGTTTAGGAAATTGTTCCCTCCATTAACTCATAAGAGTTAAGAAACTTGTCTATAAATTGTGACAAACACACATTTTGTTTTAGGGTACAACATTGAGGACCCCTTATTGTACGAGGATCTAAAAATTAAAATAAGTAATAGATATTATAGCAAGAATGAAAAGTTTTAAATACTTGAAATGTTGCACGTGCAACACATGTATGCATCAACTAGTAATATTAAAATACTTAACATGTAAAAGAGTATAATTTTCGGAGTAATTTGTCATCTAACAAATATTTGATTAGGAGTGCCAATGAAATTTTAGAGAAAGACATGAGGACTTAATAAAAATAGGATATTCAGCAAGAGCAATGTTTTTGGATTGACTATGAGTTTTATCAAACATTACAAATTTATATTAATTAAACAATTATAATAAAATTATGTCATTAGATCAATAAATTATGTTATATTTTTAAGTTCAAATATCATTATTCATTTTAAAATAGTGTTAATAAAATTCACCATAATTTTTCATATTGGAATGTTAGAATTAAAACATTTAAAATCATTAAAAATAGAAAGGGAAAATTTCAGTCATACCATTTTTAGATTATTATATCTTCAAGGATACATTCTCTATATTTTGAATCTTCACTAGCACTCCTTGTTAGATTAAAGGCCTTAACTAGAATACAATTTTATTAAGTTGTCCATGATATATTTTAAGAAAAATTTTATTTACACCCTCTCTAGATAGATATATTTTCAATGAGACCCCTCTAGATAGATATATCTTTAATAAGACCCCCTCTGTTTTATGAAATTTTTTACGTATTAAAATTTTAATTAACTTGTATTAAATTTTAATTGCCCCAAATTTTATATAAAAAAATTAAATTTTAATCGACTTAAATTTTAATACGTAAAAAATAAATTTTAATCAATTTGAATTAAAATAAATTTTCAAAAGTAAAAATATATAAATTTTAATCAACACTAATAACTCAAGTTGAGCTAAAATCAGTTCAAATTTTAATACGTAAAAAAAAATAAAATTAAGAGGCTCATATTTTAATATGTAAAAAAAATAAAATTTAATCAACTTGAATTGAATTTTAATAGACTCAAATTTTAATATATAAAAAATAAATTTTAATATGTAAAAAAATAAATTTTAATCGACTCAAAATTTAGTCGAATTTCATGTAGAAAAATTGTTTATGGTTTATGTAGGGATAATTTTAGTATTTTAGATAAATTATTTTTGTTAGAAATGGTGGTTTAATGGTAGTTAGTGTCAGTGATGTTTAAATATAAAATAGATGAGATGTCAATGATATTTTAAATAATTAAAAAATATTTTTAAAAATATATTAAATTAAAAGAGGTGTAACTAAAATTTGTTCTCCCTCGCCCAAAATTAAATTAGCAGCAAGCAATGCTGTCAAATGGCAAAACTTAAAGCAATTTGGTGGTACAAGTGATTGGCTTGTGTATATGGTACAATGGCTCCCATAGATCCCCACTGTCTATTTTAGGAATATGTCCACCGTTCAATTAAACGGGCCATGACGCGTGTATGGTTCAGATCGCAACAAGGATGCTAGGGCACAAGCTGACCAAGCTGATCTAGAACACAGAGTCGTCTTCTTCCGAACCCCACCCTCTATAAATTAGCACTCCCTCCTCCCCTCTGTCGTTGAGACTCGAGCAAGAGAGGGGAGAGAGGGGAAGAGAGAGTGTGCCACTGTGTGTGTATATATATTAGATATATATATAGAGAGAGAGATACGTAGAGAGAGTTAACTGTATGCCTTGTACGAATGGCGAAACCTCGGAAGGGAAAGAGCGAAGACCAGAAGGGCGAAAATTCAGAAGCAGTAGTTCGGCATCAGAAGCTATGCCTATCAATCGACATGAACAAGCGTCGAATCTACGGGTGTGTTTCTGTCTCAGTTTTCTCTTCACTTGCTGCTTTCACTCTCACTTTCATCTAATTCTCTGCCTCTAAAATTAATCTTGCTAATTTGTGCGAATTCGAAAAGAAAAAATGAGCGTTTCGAAAAAAAAAAAGTCGGCTTGCATGTTGTTGCTCCGCCAGTCGTTCTCACTTGGATTTTCACACTTCATCACGCATCTCCTTTTTTTCTTTCCCCTTATGTTTCTTTGAAATCCGAGATGCTGTTTTCTTACCGATTTGCTTCCGAGATTTATGTCCCATTTACTCAGAATCTCTGTATGTGTACGCGGTCGCCAGAGAGAAAATTTGACTGCTATAAATTTGAACTTCGAGAAATTTTTGCCAGAAATATTATGATTTAGATTACAGCTTGGGGATATTTGGAAGTTTACTTATCGTAGAAGCCTGGAAATGAAATTGGTTTTGTTCCCCCCCGGGGGGGGGGGGGGGGGAATCAGTTCAAATTTCGAACTTATTTTTTCGTATTTTCAATTACAATATTTGAATTCCATGCTTCCAAACGCAGCATTAGTAATTTTGAATTAACTTGTATTTTATATTTATCTTTTGACTTTGTATTATGCTTAGATTGAGTTGTTTTAATTTAGCTCAATTGTTTTGAGATACTATTTGCCAAAATAGTTTCAGTTCTCAATCTGTTCCAAATTTTTTTTTGGGTTTTTTTGGTGGGGAGGGGGGCTGAAATAGTAACTAATTTAAAAGTCAGTCCCAATTCAAAAAATTCAACTCCATGCTGTCTAACTCAGATGTAGTAACTCTGGATACTGAGCGGAGAGCTCACTCAAGGCAATTGTTAAATTTAGCAGCTCAGTTGAGTATACCCTGTGAGATCACTTCCAATTTCATTTGATTGTGGTAATGCATTCTAAATTTTTAGTGATTTTGAGCGTTGTGTTCATTGGGTGCGTATTGTTTGCCTTGTATAGTTACACGGAGCTTGAAGTAGTTGTACCTGATAATGGAATTGTTGGATTGCATGCGGATAATTTGGCCATTGAGAGTGTTACAGTTGATGGAGAGCCAGCAGAGTTTGAAGTCTTCCCACATTATTTGCATTTGGATAATGGTGATAGATGGTGCTCAGTTTCATCAGCCAGTTCAGCTGCTGATGCAGCGGGTTCAGTTTATCTATCATCTCTGCAAAGAGAATTGGTTCCAAATTTGCTGATCATGTGTACCAAATCTGTCAAATCAGACAGCGAACAGCAAGGACAAGCCCTCTTGGAAAATGGAGTGCAATCATCAAGTGAACCCAAGCAGGTTTCATTTGTTTTAGTAGTCCTTGCAGTTCTGTTTGTTGAACACCATGCAGTGTTTATAAGCTGTCTGTGTTTTGGCTTTATCCTTTAGCTGTCCTATCAGTATCAGATGGGTTGCATGTAGGTACATGTACTGGGAACATTAGGTTATTTTGTAGTTGCATGTGGTTGACTTATGATCTTTCTCTTCCTTTCTCTCACAGTTACATAGACAAAAGCACACACACATGCAGGCAAGCATGTGCTTGAGTCAATTGTGTCACATGAAGTACTCCTGAGCTACTTTGCTCTTTTGCTTTTATCCCAATGTTTGGTTTGATGAAAGGTTCAACTTAATTGCATGGTCCACATGAAGTTGAACTGAAGCAATTATCTCTGTTTTTTATCAGTTCAAGACAGAAAGAATGGAACTGTGTTCCTGGTTAGCTGAGAAGAATAATTAACCTTCGACTAAAATATGCACAATTTTGTCCAATAAATGGACTGATCTCCAAGTCCATTCTTTATGTGGGACTTTCCAGAGACTCCCATGGAGAATGGCTTGCGTTTATACCAGTAATCTGGGTATCAAATAGGGAACTGCATCCAGCATCATTTCATGTTGAGCCTTTATCATAGTTTCTCACAAAATTCTTTTGTGATGAGGTTTACTCTTCTGTGGTTTCTCATGTAGGTTATGTTGGGTGCAGAATGTGAAATTGGTTCGTATTGACTATTGGGTAGAGAAGGCAGAAACTGGAATTCATTTTGAGGATAATGTTCTGCACACTAATAACCAGATAAGGCGGGCACGGTGTTGGTTCCCTTGTATGGATGACTGTTCGCAGTGTTGCCGGTATAAACTACTTCATTAGTCTAACCTTTTTCTTTCTAGTATTTGTACATTAGAATATTGATCCTAATTATATCTATTCTTGTCCAGTTATGATCTGGAATTTACAGTTGCCAATGATCTTGTAGCAGTTAGCACTGGTACCTTACTTTATCAGGTGAGATAATGAGTAATTAAAATGTCTTCTGCACGGTGTAATAACTGGAATAGAAGTGTTTTGTATGAGAAAAGCAAACGAAAATGATAATTTGCATGTGAGAGCCCTGAGGGGAATCATTTGTCTTGGTGGACTCGTATTGTAAAGGAACTTGTATATTTTGCTTCAGAAATGTTGGTTTATATTCTTATTATTCCCACTCAAATATACCACAAAAAATGGAAAAACAAGAAAAAAAGAAGAATTGCTGAATTCAAGAAAAGACACTTTTATAATTGGAAGACCCAGTGCAATCTTGTTTGGTTAGTTAGGATCAAACCCTAAATTTCACAAATCACATGCAAATGCACCAGAACAAGAGGATTCAAAAAATTGCAAGGCAAACCTTAAAATTGAAGAGAGAAATGCCCTTTTTCATCTTCTTGTTTTGTTTCTTCTTCTCCTCCTTGAACGTGAAGCATTCGTGCAGCAAGCAGCAGGTAGCAGTGACTCAAACCCCTCCATCCTTTGCATTGATTGACGCTGATAGAGCCTTCGATCGCGATGATGCGTCTCTTGTGTTCTCTCTATCTCTCTCTCTGGTAGACGACGAGTAGACTAGTCTGTCTAGAAGAAATTCTTTTTACGTTTTTTTGATCCAAGTGTCTAAAAGAGTTGGTGCTATGTTTTTTTTTTTTTTTTTTGTTAATCTTAAAATACTCTCTATAGAGTCTTCTATTTTAAGTTATTTTTTTCCTGTCAGTCCATATAAGTGGGTATATTTGTATTTTTCAAGGTATTGAATAATTAAAACTAAATATAAACACTACATTTAAGAGTTAAACTCAGATTTATAATTCACAGATTTACTATTTATATTTTTTGTATTTCTGGATTTCAAAATTAAACTGTAAATTATAAACAAATATTTCCGGTAGCGTTCTTGTATTTTATTTTACCTATGTAGCATGTTAGGGAATGTATTTTGCATGCATTAATGCATGGATGATGTTATTTTTATATTTTAGAATCTTTCATGTTTTTTTCAATATTTTGGGGGCCTTTTATTTAGCGGTTTATGCGTATCGGCCGATATTGTGTCACGACACCGTGAACTATTTGTATCAGTACCCTCCAAATTTATGGTCGATACCGCAACCTTGAACCATGGAATCTGAGTTGACCATTTAACCAGTGTACTCAGAAAGCTATTGTACAGAACATAGCTCCGATTAGTTGCTCATGCCTTTCAATTTTGTTCAACTATTTTCTAGTTGAATAAAATTTGTGGGTTGGTGTTGATTGTATAATGGATGGTCACTGCTATCCCGTAGCTGTCTTGTGGTTTATTGATCCAATGGTTAGACAAATTTTCTGCACATTTGAGGCTTTAGACTGTATCTATCATATGTTTGCTGGATTGAGATCCTCTCAGTTGCTAGAACTTTGACCTAAGTGACTCTTTATCCAGTCCGCCTATCGAGATATGAGTATTTGGTGGACATTGAATACTTCACTTGGGTTTTTGTTAAGGATAGGTATGTTTAAGAGACACCGAATAAAAATAGGCATTTTTGTGAGTGTATCACTTTTTTTTTCCTTTTTTTAAGAGGGGGTGGGGGGTGGGAGAAGTGGTAGGGGTAAGGAGATGAGGTTGGAACTCTCAACCACCTGTTGCGCGGGAGTGAGCCCTTATTGCTCTGGTTCTTGAGACTTCTGCCCTTTGTTCTTCAATTAATGGGTTGATGTACATTTATTGGGAGAATTGGTCATATTGACCCCTTGTATTGTAAGTGTCAAAAATGTTAATGCATTGCTTTCGCAGTAGTTATTGTACAAATGGTTACAATATCATCAGCTACTGCTGTTGAATAAGAAAGTTGAAAGAAAGGAAGTGTGGAAAGTCATTATGATGCTTTGATCATTTGAGACAAAGGCTAGTGGTCTCATCAGAAATGAGTGAAATTGTTGACAGAAGTGGGATCATTAATGTAGTATGTACAGATGCCAAATAGTTGGGTTAATATTGTTTTGAGTTCTTTAGTGATGGAATTCATGGGTGAGTAGATGCTTTGAAACTTCCAAAGGAATTGTATGCAAGTGCTGTGAGGGAAGTGAAAAATATAAAAACCAAGTAATATTGTTGATACACCTATTGTCCTCATGAATTGACTGTAAATATGTCCAGCCTTGAGGTTCCCTTAATAAAGTTCGTATTGTAATTGGTTTGCATCACTGCTGTGTAAAATATTGACGCAATGGCACTTTAACCATCAAAAGAGAAACTGGCTCACCTGTGGTCCTTCTTAAGATAATGCATTCAACTAATAAAACTTAGTTGTGTGTCTTTTTCATTTTTTTCCCTTCTAGTATGTATGCTGTGTCAGGTAGTTAGTATAACAAACTTTGCAAAAAATGCCAAAAAGATAGGATTGTACCACCTCTCCCCGCCCCAATTAATGGTTTCTTTTCTAGACACACCTTTCAATCACAGTTGATATCATATACCCTTGTTCATTCAAGGTCAACATAAAACGACCATATCCCAAATTTCTGAGCCTTATCTATGGGCACTCTTTAAGAAATTGCTTTATTTGAGCTTGACCCAAGCTTTGCTAGGTTTTGGCCGATTGAATGTTAACTCGACCCAATGTAACAGATGAGTCTTCAAGCTCAGTTGTAGTTGTTCTTAAATATGCACTTACATGATAGTTTATAAAAGTGGCTACAACATTTTTATTGATATATTTTATCTTTATAAATAATTATAGAAAGTTCTGAACCTTCCAACAAACCAAGAGTAAAACAGATTTTTATTCTATTTTCCCGCTTAAAAAGAGTACCCTACTCAACAGTGATTTGTCAATCGAATTTCATTTTTTGTTATGGTGGGCAATAAAATAAAAATTTCACAGCAGGAAGATGAGATTACAAATTAACCGACTGTTCATAACCCTTGCAAGTGGAATTTCAGCCAAGCTCACACAGCTTAGATTGTTGGCAGCCTTGCAGTTAAAATACTACTTAAAGCTGATATTTTGTTGATGTCTTTTGCTGGAGAAACACACTTTTAATAGCTTGCTTTATCATTTGTACTTCAAGACACTGGCTCCTAACCTTGACTCTGGTGTATGGGATAATCATGCCATCAGATCCATGTTTCAGTGTGAAGGCCTTGTTTCTTTGGGAAATCCATATATTGTCAGGTTGCATCTTTAATGGTCTATATCTGAGAAATTGTTTCTCCCTTTTTATTTAAGCTGAAACAGAACTTCAAAGACAATGCTAGGCAAAGTATAATCTCTCTAGTGGACAGGTAAGGGCAAAAAACATATTCTTGAGCAACAAACCCATAACCAATGGATAATGTCAGAGGCCCCTTTGCATTCAAATGGTAAGAGGCTTGATGCACAGACCTCCTAGGACAACTCTGGTATTATGTTGGAGCATCCGCTCTAAACCAATTATCTATGAGTGAAGAGGCTTCTCAGCTATATAAACCAACCTCACATGGTTTTAATTATTTGACCCATGATACACACTAACCTTACACTTGCATACAAGCATAGTAGAACTCGATATAAAAGTGGGATATGAAGTACATGAACTTTGCCTTTTTGGGTATTTGTTCAAAAGCAAACTCTGGTCAGGTGATCGAAATGAAATTTGGTCTAAATGCTAGGTAGTGAACTTTGTATCGATGAAGCTTGTGTTTGTCTGCTGTTGATGGATGCCTCTCATAGAAAAAAAGAGAGTTTCCCTCCTTCACCTGAATGGCTGCACTATAATTCTTACACACTGACAAATTTTCTAGATTATGCCAAATCTTCCCTCTCTATGTGTGTTTGCGTTGTTGCTTTCTCTCTCTGTTTCCCCCCCTTTTTTGATCATACTCTAACTGGATGTCTTGCTGTATGTCACACTGATCAGAGTCATCAGATAACTGGTCCGTGGGAATGCATCATTAAGTTGGCGAATCCATTTATATTTAGACTGCTCTATGTTGTTACATGGAATTATTTGTAATGTACTTGTGGAGAACAAATAGTGTCACATTATGTGCTGATTGGGCATTTAATGATTTAGAGCTTTATTATTTCATAAACTTGCCAAACAATGTTTATATCTTTGGAACTTGTGTTTGACAATGTTTGTTTTAGCAGATCTTAACCAAGGATGATCCTCCATGTAAAACATATGTCTATAGATTAGATGTTCCAGTCACTGCCCAGTGGATCTCCGTGGCGGTTGCACCATTTGACATCCTTCCCGATCATCATACTGGTCTTATATCACATATGTGTCTACCAACCAACTTGTCAAAGCTTCGGAACACAGTTGGATTTTTCCACAGTGTTTTCAGGTTTGTCTTACTAATATGACATTTACCCCTGTTCCCTTTTGAAGTTGGTTTTTGGTTGTTAATTTGTTTTCCTACTGTCCATCAATTTAGTGGCTGCTTCCATAAGTTCCACATGTGTTCATGTTTACAGCCATTATGAAGAATACCTTTCTGCATCATTTCCATTTGGGTCATACACACAAGTTTTTATTGCTCCTGAGATGGCGATATCCACATTAAGCTTGGGAGCCTCCATTAGTGTCTTTAGTTCGCAAGTCCTTTTTGATGAGAAGGTTATTGATCAGGTAAGCCATAAGGTCCATGACAAAAGTTTATTTGGTTGATGAATTCATAATCTTAGGAGTTTGTCTCTACAATTCTCATCGGCTTTTTGTCTTGTTCATAGTACACATTGTTTATAATTTCACCTCACCTCACAAAGTATTCTCCTTGCAAAGAGCATTAATCAGTATAGAAGTTAATATATGTTTTCATGGTGTGCACATATAGGTGAGAAATATGTGTGAGAAACACATGGTTATGCTAAACATGAGATTTTGGCTATTGTGCCATTAGGAGAAATAATGCACTTGCAGCAGCACTAAATAGATATGAATCTCCTAAATGTAGTGGGTCACGCGACAATGTAATTATTGGCTTTGACACTTGACTGTTTATTTATTTATTTTTTTGGCAATAGGCTGCGTATTTTACCTTTTCTAAGCTTTGAAGATCATATATCACAATTTTTTTGTTTCTTTGTTATTAATGCCGAGAAAAGGGCCAAATACATTGTGCATAACTTCTATGAGATTTACTACTTTTGATTAGGGGTAATTGAATAATTGCTGAGGGTGATGACTCTTTCAGTTCTCATTGATGATGGGAGAGAAGAGACTGAGTTTGAGAGCGACATGGAACGAGGAGATTGTTGCTACCCGTGATAGTTTGAGAGTAACTGAGGACAAGGAAGGCAATGAGCCAAACAAAGTGTGTAAAAAATAGAGTTGAAACCCTAAACTTTAGTAACCTTGCTCGTATACCAGGGGCGGCCCAACAAATATGGGGCCCTAGGCAAAAATATTCAGTGAGGTGTCTGTGCAGTGCAATATAATAATATAAATATGATTAAATAAATATTAAAGTATTAATAAATATTCATTTAAAAATTATTTTTCTTGTATTTGAGATGTAAATCTACTATTTTTGTTTTTGCATTCAAGTTGTGGTTATAAAAAAATCCATTAATTAAAGTTGAATTTGGAGACCAATAAATAAATAATTTGCTATAAGTTGAAAAAATAGAGAAAGAGAATGAAAATTTATGAATATAGGAAAATTAATTTTCAAAAAACAAATGTTGGTAAGAATATTGAATAGTAAATTACTCGGAACTCAATCTGGTTTTCTAGTCATTCTGTGTGCATATCTTGTGTATCTAAAAATATAGCTGGACTAAAAATATAGTTGGACAAAAAATCATACTCAGATAACAAAGGTTATACTCATGTATAGTTTAATGGATTTGTGTCGCATTTAATTGAGTTCGTGTCGACTAGTTGATTTGAGGGTTCGAAGAATTCATCGGTTTACTGTCCACATACTAAGGCTAGATCCAAACTTGTTAATGTCATGTCAATTTTTTATTGGTTCATAAATTTTTGTAATGTCATGTCGATTTTAATGGTCTTAAACTTTTTTTTTGGGCCCCAAATATTACTTTTTATTTGGGGGCCCATGTGGCAGCCTTAATGGCCTATGCCTAGAGCTAGCCCAGTCCTATACATATGTATACTCGTTATGTATTTTTTTTTGAAACTCTGGTTAAACCTGAGTTCCATAGTCCGTTTTAGCCCAATTTGAATATTCGAGCTATAAATTGGCTTGATTCCAAATTCATCAATGTGGGCTAAGTTTGGATTGAACCCATCTACTTGAAGTCCCAACTCGAGTATTGGTCGTATTTGTATGCTCAAGCCCTACCCAAGTATTTAAAACTTCTACCCAAGTAATTGGATTTTTGGGGTTGGGTTCTAGTTAATCCACACAAGTTGCACCCCTATGAAGTACGGGAGGAGAAAAGCACTATACATTACACAGATTTTTATATATGGGTGGTTCAACAATGAATGGGAAAGACAAAATTATTGGCCGATTGCTACGAGTGTGGTAAGTATACTATTAAAGAATTTGTAATGAAAAGTACAACATCATTCGTATCATACTCTATGTACATCGTAACATCCTCACTAGAATATTTTTAGAATCATATCACTACTGTACAAGTGTACAACTACATTTAAAGGATGGATGAGCATGTCATATTTTTGGTTATTCTGTCAAAAGTTGACAACAAGTGGATTTCCTTTATATGTTTTTGTCTTCCATTTCTCATGATGAATGCCGAATCACCAATGTATAACAATGCCATTGTTTCTTCCTTTATTTAAGGAAATACTTTATGCAAAACTTACAGAAGTTTGTAGAGAAACAACAGATGTAAAATCTGTGTACTGGAGTCCTCCCATCCCTATGGAGGTAATATGTAAATAATTAATATGGGTCCTACAAGGATCAAATATTAGAAATAAGTTTAATATTAAACTTCAGATCAACAAGGTAAACAGGAGTTCCTCTCTTGTAGGACACATATTGTACTAACTATTGTTCAGTCTAATTATGATCCTACATGTAAGCAGGTTTTTTTTTTTTTCATGGTGGAATTAAGATCTCAACTTTAATAATGGCTGTGGAGTCTAGGCACACTTGTTACAAATTTAATGTTTTCAGATTTTGTCTGGATTGCCAATACTCATTGAGAACCCTCAACAGGGGTGGCATTTTTTGATACTAGCATAGTTATGAAACCCATCTAGAAGGAAATACTTCATGTTGTGGGGATCTCTTACTTTGTTGATCAGGTGATAACGCATTCAAATATTTCTTGTTGGTGAGCTTCCAAGGAAGGTAAAATAGAGGTCTTACAAATAAACTTCCTCCTGAGCTGTTAGATTTGTTGGATCTCTGAATGCATACCAAATTCATAAAATGAAGAGGACCAAACTGACATTAATATCACACTATGGATAGTGTACCCGGGAATTGTTTCATCGCAATATTCTTTAATTATCTATCTATGGAGGGTTTGGTTGTGAGATCTAGGAAAGAATTGCACTCTGCGGACTCTTCTTCATTCTGTCTTTTTAGTTATCTCTGATCTTATTATTTGAGGAAATTGTAGTCTAATCAGCCATTTTATTATCACTCTACATGCCCATGTTTGCTTGCCTACGATTTTGGGTACATTATTTTTACCTTTTTTTTTTTGTGTGTGTGTAGAAGTTATAGAGAACCATGTTTCCCTTTTAATGGCTGCTTTGATATGAACATTCGACTGCATAAGAAATCTATTAGTCATACTGATGGATCCAGATTCATTGAAACAGACCATAGAGACGAGGATTAAACTTGCTTATGCCCTTGCAAGGCAGTGGTTTGGAGTATATATCACTGCAGAGGCACCAACTGATGGTAAGTTGTAAATGATTTGTTTCAGTCTTGATAAAGAAATCAATATTTCTTATCTGTTGTGAAATGGTTATTGTCAGAGTGGCTTTTGGACGGTCTTGCTTGGTTTCTAACTGATTCCTTTATTAAGCGATTTTTGGGAAATAATGAAGCACGCTATAGGAGATACAAGGTTTGCTTTCCTTCCATAGTTACGTACCATAAATACTTGCAACTGTTGATTCAAATAGTGACTGGTGTACACTGCACAATTGATTTGTAATGCTGCTACATTTCAAAGATGTATGGATGGATGGGAGGTCATTGGGTCGAGTTCTCTTGTTAGGGAGGATAACAATATGACATCAAATTTTCTCCTTGCATGTCAATGATTTGTCAAACATGGCCTCAAAGTGATGCACATCAATATTAATACTTCTGCTTAATATATGTTTGGTTTATGCGATGATGGACTGAATTCATCTGTTGAGAGTTGAAACAAATTCATTCATTCGTTATATTGTTCTATAACTGGAGTTGAGATAATTTTAATAGTAATAATCGTTGGGCCTGGGATGGTATGAATTGAGTTGATCAACAGGGAGGGTTTGGGTTGAGTTGAACTGAGTTGGTTTGAGTTTTCCATAACATGGCTTTACGTCTTATTTTTTTTGAGATATTCCTTCCTCTCCTAATTGTTTGTTTTCTTCACTGAAAGAATGGGCTTTTTTAGTTGGGTTTGAACATCTAAAAGTTGGAAAACATTGTTTTTTAATAAAATAAAAGACACTCGTGGTCACGGATTATAATTATTAGGATTTCATGTGAAACATACCGATTGGCCTCATCTTTTTTCTGACGTGCAGGCAAATTGTGCAGTTTGCAAAGCAGATGACAGTGGTGCAACTGCTCTAAGCTCCTCTGCTTCTTCTAGGGATTTATATGGAACCCAGTGTATTGGTCTATATGGAAAAATACGATCATGGAAGTCTGTAAGTTGTTTTTTTTTGCTCCTGTTCCATTTCAATCAGTGCTGTATTTTGTCCTCAATTCTCTTCTCTAATAAAATTCTTCTTTTATCCCCAAAAAAAAAAAAAAAAAAAAAAAAAAATGGCAATACTTCAAATGCTAGAGAAGCAGATGGGGCCTGAGTCCTTCCGGAAAGTAAGATACTAAGAACTTCACTAAGTACGCATTATATTTATTTGCTGATGAAGGTGGTCATTTTCTTTTCTATTGCTTGTTGCTTCCATTGTTTTTGTTGTTATGAATTATTTGTTCAATTCTTAAAGTTAGTCTTTTATCATTGATACTTTCTGCTAGTCTTTTATCATTCATATTTTTTATGCCCTTTTCATTTTCAGGCTTTTACAACATGTATATTCATAAATACAGGCTGTTAACTCAGTCTTTCTCATATTTTGTGGTTACAAATATCAGTTGGAGTTGAAACCACATAGTATGAGAAAAGAAAGAGCTCGACTGATGCTACTGTAGCCAAGCCTTACCTTCCCGTATATTAAATTGATTTCCTTACTTTAATGTATCATGAAAGTTGAAAGAGCTTCAAATACAGACATTTATCGAGAGTTGATTGACCTAGACCTAGAGTAGTACCTATATTTGATAGCTTAAAGAGACCTGATGCTTAAGGAAAATTGGTAATACATAGATCGAAATTACGACAGATCAACTACAAGAAAGGAGCATCTTGATACCATTGTGTATTTCCAAATAGCTACTTGTGGTCACAACGACTGCTCTCTGTCATTTTAGTATCATTGGCCTTGTTTTTGCCATTACTATTGTCAAAGTGGGTCACCCAGTGCATGGGGCTCTCTCTACTATGGGGTCTGGGGAGGGTGAGAAGTAAGTAAATTTGTTCTCTGTGCACAGAGACTATTTTTGGGACTCAAACCCATGATGGCCAGCTTACAATGGAATAACCTTATTGCTGTGCTGACGCCTGCCCTCCTTTGTTATTACTGTTATTTTGACCTAAAGCCGTTTACCTCATCTTATGGTCACTACACATACAGTTTCTTTAGCACTGATCAATAAATAGTACATATAAAAATAATATTTCATCATTGATCAATAAAAGTAGTGATATCAAGTTTAGTTTCTTTACTACTGTTCCATAATATTGGTTATGATAATAATCAGAAGTACAAATAATAGCTCCACCCCTTGCGGTGTCTTATAATTGCAGAAGTGTCATGGCTTCTAAGATTACACCAACCCCTTCTGGTTTGGATTAGCATGCNAAAAAAAAAAAAAAAAAAAAAAAAAGGTGGCAATACTTCAAATGCTAGAGAAGCAGATGGGGCCTGAGTCCTTCCGGAAAGTAAGATACTAAGAACTTCACTAAGTACGCATTATATTTATTTGCTGATGAAGGTGGTCATTTTCTTTTCTATTGCTTGTTGCTTCCATTGTTTTTGTTGTTATGAATTATTTGTTCAATTCTTAAAGTTAGTCTTTTATCATTGATACTTTCTGCTAGTCTTTTATCATTCATATTTTTTATGCCCTTTTCATTTTCAGGCTTTTACAACATGTATATTCATAAATACAGGCTGTTAACTCAGTCTTTCTCATATTTTGTGGTTACAAATATCAGTTGGAGTTGAAACCACATAGTATGAGAAAAGAAAGAGCTCGACTGATGCTACTGTAGCCAAGCCTTACCTTCCCGTATATTAAATTGATTTCCTTACTTTAATGTATCATGAAAGTTGAAAGAGCTTCAAATACAGACATTTATCGAGAGTTGATTGACCTAGACCTAGAGTAGTACCTATATTTGATAGCTTAAAGAGACCTGATGCTTAAGGAAAATTGGTAATACATAGATCGAAATTACGACAGATCAACTACAAGAAAGGAGCATCTTGATACCATTGTGTATTTCCAAATAGCTACTTGTGGTCACAACGACTGCTCTCTGTCATTTTAGTATCATTGGCCTTGTTTTTGCCATTACTATTGTCAAAGTGGGTCACCCAGTGCATGGGGCTCTCTCTACTATGGGGTCTGGGGAGGGTGAGAAGTAAGTAAATTTGTTCTCTGTGCACAGAGACTATTTTTGGGACTCAAACCCATGATGGCCAGCTTACAATGGAATAACCTTATTGCTGTGCTGACGCCTGCCCTCCTTTGTTATTACTGTTATTTTGACCTAAAGCCGTTTACCTCATCTTATGGTCACTACACATACAGTTTCTTTAGCACTGATCAATAAATAGTACATATAAAAATAATATTTCATCATTGATCAATAAAAGTAGTGATATCAAGTTTAGTTTCTTTACTACTGTTCCATAATATTGGTTATGATAATAATCAGAAGTACAAATAATAGCTCCACCCCTTGCGGTGTCTTATAATTGCAGAAGTGTCATGGCTTCTAAGATTACACCAACCCCTTCTGGTTTGGATTAGCATGCATAAGTTGATAATGAAACGTGGTGGTTATTTCAATTGATCTTATCTTCCAATTCTTTTCTGGAATACCAGAATCACTCCTGTTAATTTTTTTTGTACCCATTGTACAAAGTTGCTCTTGCAACAAGGTTAGGGAGATGTAAGTGATAGACAGCCTTATCACAATTTTTGGAGTGGTGATTCCTAAGACTTACTCCTATTAAGTCTTGAACGACTGATTGACTCAACCAATCAATGTATAAGATTTGTGGTAACCCAATCTGAGTTACCCATTGGTTTTTCTCTTTTCCTCTTTAAACTACTCACCTCCACTAACATACACACCCATGGGGGCATCAATCTACTAACATCAACACCTAGACACAATCACTCAACTGCCTCAATTTTGTTACCACCTGCCACCTGCCACCACCACAACTACTAATTGTTAAGCCACCCACAACCAATTTGTCATCGCCCAGCACCACCATATATCTAGAGTCACTAATACTGGTCAAAGAAATGCCTTCCATTTTTTCTTTGCTCGAGCCATTCTCCATTGTCTACCCCTCATGGGTCTAATATCCCTAATACCAAACCCTATCTCCTTTGCCCCTCTGTCAATCGGGGTCAATCGGGGTTGCAAATCTCAATTGCACTCTCAAATTCCATCAGGATGTGTTTAGATGTATAATGATGCCTCCAAACTTCTTTTTGTGCGTAGGGCATGGCTATTGCAATGGATGAGTCCATGCTTCTGCATGTTGCCAAAGGCGTCCAAAACCCTTTGCACATGGGACAAGGCTTTGGAGATGGACTGGTTGAATACCCCTTTATATTGAGAGATGAGGTCTTCTTTGCATGTGAAGTGAGATGTCCTCTCTCTTCACGGGATTCAAATTCTCTGATCATGCCCTTCATTGATGACCTAGCAGATATTGATGGGGGATTTTGTTTGCTGTTCTCTTTGGGGGAACTTGTGGTGTTGTATTGATCACTGATGGGAGGGAAACTTATTTGGAAACGATGCATATGGTTTTGAACAGGGAGAGTATTGGTGCTTAGTTATAGGTTGGAGAAGGAATTATTTTTTAATCAAATTGAAGGCAAAATGTACTGAGGGAAAGATAGTAATCGAATGTTCCCCATTAATTGGGTAGAGAAATTCTAGCAAGATTGCAGTGTAGTTTCAAAAAACATGAGGGTATTCCCTACACGTTTTAGGTACCAAAAGAGGTGGCAATTTTGCACACTAATTAGAGCTCATTTTTTGTGAGATAATGAAATTTTGTAGAATAATGTAAATGCATTTGGATAGAAACCAATGTAGTGAATGATGTTCACAATACAAGCTAAACTAAGATGAATTATGAGTGGAACATACATGATTCTAATGGTTAAAGTACCACTTTGCAAAGCTTGTGTTTGTGAAAATTCCGAAAATAAATATATGAATAAATATATGAATTGATTGTTACGCAACATGACAGAAAAATGAAGTCAATGAAACAAGGAGAAGGAGAAAAAAAGGAATAAAGAAAGAGGGGAAACAATCGCCTACTTAATGAAAATTCTGTCTTCTTTTTCCCAACAAACAACTAAAGCTTCCAAACTCTTCCTCTTCTCACAAAGCTACTTCTGATATTTTTAAGAGTTATTTTTTGTCCTAGTGTCATCAAGGGAAATTGTCTATGGTAGTTTTCAAACTAGCATGACTTTGAAAATATGTTACGAAAAAGCTATTCCCATTGTCATGGACCAAACCATTACATGTCTCTCTTCTACTTCCTTAGCCTTCTCTTGTGGGTCATTTTGAGCCGCATCTTGACAATGTTTGTCCTTGCAGTGCACATGCCTTAAAGATCAAGCAACACACAATAAATAGAAAACGTATTTTGATGTTTGTGATCCATAGAAATACTAATAGAGTTAACCACGTTAATGATAAATTCATGTAGCACGTAATATTTTTTCCCTTTTTAAACAAACATTTGCTGTTCTTTTCATTTTCTGTTTAGACAAGATAACCATGAACCTATGTAGTCCAGATAAGGACCCTACAGTTAAAAGTATACATTCCTGACCATGCTTTGTACATATAAACACTTGATTTATCAAGGCAAATAGAGAAGACCTTAAGCCCTTACAGGAAAGGGGAAGTGAATAGAAACTGACCTGGAGGGCAAGGAAAGCAAACAATATTAAAGGGAAAAGAAAGGAAAGGGCAAGGAAACCATACAATCTTAAACAAAAATTGCTCTAGAGGGACCTCAATACCATTGTTTAATTTCAATAGGTCAAGCACAAGTGCATAATGGTAAACTCAAAACCCCGAAGCTACGAATTAGTATAATCACAAGTTTGTAATAACAATGTCTTTAACTATTCCTGGTTATAGCTTGTCAATTGAAACACACACACACAAAACTTTGCCAACTTCTTTCGCAAAACTAAGAAAAATCCCATGGAAACCCAACTATAAGTAGACACATGCATGTACAATTCCACAATGCTGCTGTTATAAACTAAAACCGATGGGCAGGGTAGGCTGTGATGTTCATGAGATCCAATAAAAAAGTCAACATAAAAGATGTTCTTTTTGGAATAGAACTGTAACTCCTGATAAATCAACTTTTACCTAGCCAATTTAGATAAATCTTTGATGCTATTCCAAAAAGAACGTCAATTACAATTCGTTAAAACTACGTGAAATCGATTACATATTTTGACCTTACTAACCACCTATAAACATCCATGTCTAACAACACGTCAATGAGAAGTGCATCCAAGGGTGCCCGTCATCTATGCCATTTCAATGGAAAATCTCCTCTTGAAGATATCTCAAAATATCATATCCCATGTTTGTCTCTATCAAAGGCAATATGCTTTATTCTTCATCTCTATCTCTCTTTCTCTCTCTCTCTCTCTCTCTCTCTCTCTCTCTCTCTCTCTCTCTCTCTCTCTCTCTCCAAACTACACACATACTAATATGTGCTGGAAAGGCAAATTCCATGTACACTCACAATCATAAAAAATGACAAAGGCAGAACTGTAAGATTGTAAACAGTTTAACGAGAAGCTTATCATTTGCGATTTCCTCAATGCATAAGTTCCATTGAAATGTTAATTTTTTGGTTTCTCCTCGTATTAAACAACATTCACATCTCAACTGCTTTGTATTGTTTGATGTAACTGGTCAACTCAACTTCAAGCTATCCCCCTTTTCATATGTATTTCTTTTTCCTTATGGCACATGAAATATTATTTTTAAATTACTTACGGGAAAAAAATATTTAATTCATAATATAAAAGTATGTCCACTTGAACAAGAAAAGAGTCCCATGATGTTTTAAGTTTCATTTGGGATGACCATCACACAGTGAATTCTTCTCCACCATTTTCACTTCATCTTCTTCACATTTTTGGAATTTATCCGAATTCAATGTGCTACTTTTACTTTCTTCATGAGAGGAAGGACATAGGGCCTGGGCCCCCAACCCTATTCAATTTCCTCAACAAGGGTTATCCATTCATCTTGTTTCTCTTTATGGATCAATATAGATAGACCAATGAAAGCTAACGGAGTTTTCAAAATTCAAACACAGGAAAAACATCATAATAAAAAAATAAAATTCAAGGTATAGAAAAATTGTGCTTAATTAAAGCAAGTGAAAAAATTAAGACCTTCCTAGTGATGCATGTGTGTCACATGCAAGACGAACATCCAGTTCAGTTCAAACACGTCAAGGAACCAGCTCTGCTAGATTACTACCAATATTTACTAAAGCTTGTCGATTTCAGTGATCAATTATCTGCAACACAGTTAAACCAATAGAGTGACCTCAACATTCAATTTCAACAGGAAAGATGCCAACCTTATTAAAGAAACAGGACATCTGAACATCAAAATTCTCCAATTTGTAACACTCTGAATTTGCCAATGCATTATCCACAGCACTCTATGCCCAAAAATTAAGTAACTGGATAAAAATAAAGTGATTGCACACTCATACACATGAATTTAATCAAACAGACATCTACCGCTCCCAATTCCTAGTGTATGTGTCTATTTTGAAGATTTTTTAAACTCTTTCATCTTAATTCAGATTTTATAAGTTTGTCTATGACTCTATTGGGTGAACCAGAGTGAGCTTGTGCAACGCAATTGGATGAGCTTGATAAACTATACTAATAAAGACACGCGTAAGTACATATATTTGTGAATCGAACATTTACCTTACATTTTATATCAGGAAAGCTGGAGATACCTAAGAGGAAAGAGGAGCAAACAGTTCCAGTAGTTGGAGGAAAACTACATTTTTTAAAGATAATTTAACATATGTTATCAAGCAATAAACAAATCACAATATTCAGATTGAAAAGGCAAAAAAATATAAGGAAATTTGAGGAACGGAGAAAAATTACCTCTCGAAATCATCGAAAAATAACGGTGTCGGGAATGATCTAACTGTAGCTTGACACAACATCCAATTCAATGCTCGAACCTAATAGCATTAATAAAATATTGATCTAAATCAGATTTGGAATTCAAATTACCAAAAAATATAATAGAGATAGAGAGAGAGAGAGAGAGAGAGAGAGAGAGAGAGAGAGAGAGAGAGCCGGTGTCAAGAGATGAAGAGAAGCCAAAGGAAGCCTGGATTTTAGGAAATGTTCTCTGCCACTTGAATACGAAATTCTACTTCTCATCCTTCTATTATGCTTGATCAAAGAACAATTAGATTGACAACTCCTGTAATGTATGTGTCAGACAGAGAGTAGTACTTGAAGAGCCGAGGAGAGCTGAGTATGGCGGAGAATGCAAAGAAGTTGACATTTTGATTCAGTGAGAGTGACTCTATTTACTGTGTGTTGGTTGTGAATGGAATAGGGGTTTTTGTTGATTTGCTCCATGATAAGAGTTTTTTTAGATGGGTGCTCTATAGATATGGTCTTCACGTTGTGCCTTTTGGTATAATGAGAAAAAATCTAGTGAGAAGTGTGGGCCCCTAGAATAGTGAGAGATCAAAGATGACTTCAAGTCTTTCACCAAAGTTAGAACTTGTTATTGCGAGAGTCATTTGAATAGTAAGGGATGGAATTTTACATCCCCTCTTTTATAATATAGGGAACAAGGACACAAATTACGGCAATAAAACAATAACAATATTACTAATATAAGTGCATGACTTGATAAATTAATGGATGAGTTTGTACGAGATTTTGATCAAGGCTACCAAGCTATTTCAAAGCCCCGTTTACTTGTCAATTCTACTCAACATAAGTGATTAAAAGTAGAACTCTAGGTGGATCCTTCATCAATGCAAAACTGGAGGACATTTTGAGTGCTTAGTAGAGCGAGGTGTAAAGATGATCAAGCTTAGCCCTTTATTCTCATGAATTTTTCCTTTTCAGAAATTACAATTATTATTGAGGAGAAAAGAGAAAGTCTTTAAACTTGAAAGAAGATAAAACCAAGAAAAGATACACTGTTTTGGAGTGATTTAAATTTCTTGGATTACCAAAGTCTGGTACGTCATTGTACTTTGCTGACCAAAATAGACAGGGCATGGTTGAAAAGGTGGTTGTATGTCTCGGTACACTTTCACATAACTTACATGTCTAGTTTTCTAAACTTATATTCAGTAGTTAGGATTAGTACTTCAAAAACTTGTTAGACACAACTAATTGAAGGAGGATATGGTAGATTTACTAACATATATTATGTAGATATGAGAACTAGTTCCATCAGTCTTGTTAAAAACATTGATTTAATTGACTTGAGTGACAAATAATATACTCACAAACTTGGTTAAGTTCATGAAAAATTGTCATCAATAGCACTGGTGTTGTGCAAAACACGAGTAACCATGTTTGAAAAGTTTATGAAGTTAAAGAAGGATGTAAGGAACCAAGATTTGAAACCAGTATTTGACTTGGCTCGCTTGGCTTTTAGCCTAATTTGCCTTTTGGTGTTATTAATATAACTGAAGGCAAGGATCAAAATTTCATTTTGAAACGGTGGAAACGTTCGAAACGTTTCCGTTTTGAATAAGACTGAAACAAATTAGTGATGAAATCGAAATTTTACTATTTTGAGGTATTTCATAATGTTTTAAGATGT